TATATATATATATATATCTTATGTGGCACCATAAACTCTATCGGATAGCAACATAATTATTATACTGATTTTGTTAGGGTATCTTAAGTAATAATTTAAGTTGTGTTGAATAGTTAGCTATACTTGAAGTATTCATTTAATAATTTTGTATTTTTATAGAGGCAAAAACTTAGTTGCAAAGTAGTTATTTAGATTTATTTTTTAACCTTTCACAAAGCGGTGTAGAAATTTTTAACATAAACGGTTCTATGGTACCACATACTGTCATACGAATTCTTGGTGGCGGAACTTGCCTTTTTTGAGCAATAGCATGCATGTATATATAAAACGATACTCAAGTTATGGCTTGAGAGATGCTTAAGTACGAAGTATTAGGGGGATCAGATAGTAATATTGCTTCGACCCATTAAATATTCGTTGATCTTAAAAACCAATTCATTTTTTTTCAATCCATTTCTATTTATTTTCGTTCTGGCATTGAAAGGTTGTTGCTAACGAAGGTCAATACATTATTGATTAAAAATAAGATCTTGATGAAAAATATCAAATGCACCGAAACAACATTACTTTCCGGTCCCCCTAATGTTAGGATGAGTTTTCTATCTTATCTTACAACAGAGACGGAAATAATTTTTTTATTTCTGTTGCTTACTTTGCTAAAATGCCCCAAATTCATACTTACGGTGATTTGTGTGATTTAATAGCTGCCGCACAGATTTTAAATATTAATAAAATCCATTACATAAAGAACTTTGAGAATTTCGCGGACATCTCTTGAAAAAAGCAAAAATTACAATCAAAGTACTTCCGCCGCGGCAACAATTAGACGTTGAAAAAATTTGGTTAATATATTGTTTAAAACTAATTGAACTAATAGAATTTGAAGAGGGGTTGAAGAATTAGAGTATTTAAATAATTTCAATAATTCTATTAAAATTATTTAAATAATCAGTTGTAGTAATATTTAAATAATTTGTAATATTTAAATAATTAGTTTTATAATAATATTTAAATAATTAGTTGTGCTGTACAATCCGCTTGGTCACCATTAAAGTTTATATGTTGTGCAAGAAAATTTTGAAAGTTGACCATCAAGCTGGATGCCAAATGCTACTAGTATCAATATGCGATACCATTTCCATCCAAAAGTAAGTTTTTTTTTAAAGTTTTCCTCTTCTGTCTCATCTGCAATTTACTTATATTAAATAAAAAGTTTGATTCTTTGAGTCCGTGTTAATATATTAAACTACTTCTTTGTGTTAATATACTGAAAGTCTTTATACGTGTTGATTGTTTTTACTTTATATATTTATGCTATTTTTAAATTTTTTTGTCAAAATGGCTATTAAGAAAAGTTAGATCATTTGTACCAAATCAAAAATTTTGACAGTTACCTTTGTCATAAAAGAAAAACAAAATGCGGCTCAATAAGAAAAAAATTAAAAATTTCACATAATAATGAGACCGAGAAACAAACAAAAACATCAGTAGTAGAATTTTTTTCTTAGAGATTTCAGTCAGTCATTATTTAACAGTCCACATTTGTAACTTTTTATCCATAAATAAATATTTCCTATTTCTTGAGACAAAACTTTTCCTTAAGCATTTAATTATTGATGAATAGGCTTTGATAACTCTTTTAATTTAATTAAGAAGTTAGTTAAACCTCCTTCATAGTTAAACTTCACACTATTTTTACACTCTTAAAAGAAGTATGAATAAAGAGTGTAGTTTGTTTTTTAAATAAGTAATAATAGAAACAAATGGCTAACATCATAAGCTATCAATTAATATTAATATAGATATTTTATTACGTTAATATTTAAAAAATATTTTTGCAATAAGCAGTTTAAATCTTGCATGTTTCCACTTTAACTTTCCTAATAATTGTATGAATAAAACTAGCAAGCCTTATCGTTGCAAAACCACTTAAAATTTTCTGGTATTCGGGGAACAATTGATATTTTCGGTACATTTTAAAAAGAAGTCATTTAATCTAACAAATTTAATATAAATTTGATCAATTGATTAAAGTAAAGTTTATGATCTGTTAAAATAAAGTACAGATCAAAAATGTATATGTATATTAATCAGCACATTAATTCACGAGGTATACTTTTATTCACTTAAATATGGTATTATATGATTAATGTGATAAAAGAAATATCACATTAAAAATCGGTATCCAAAAACAAATTACAGAGAATACAGCGTGATAAAACAAATAATACTTTCTATATTTTCTAGTTAAAGGCATTTTTTTCGAACGATAGTATTGATAATACAAATCAAAAGTTTAACTAACCTTCAAGAAAAACGCAATTTCCCCCAGAGTTTTCATCTTTCTTTGACGAATTCATTCTCCTAAACTGTATTTTAAACTCTCAATTTATTAAAGCGAGTAGTAACCCAAATCTTTTCAAAGCCAGAAAATGTTTGGTACTGGAAAGTTGACAGATATATGCACATTAGTTCAATAACCTTGAATTTGCTGACCAGAGGTCTTTACTGTACTGTGATAAGATTTTATTATCTCCTGACCTTCAACTTATCTGATTTGCCGATAATATTCTCCAAATTATTTTATTCTATTTATTTTACAAAATATAAAACTGAAGTAATCTGATCATTGAGATACATTTCTAAAAATATACTAATAGTGTGTTAAGAATCACTAAAATTGCATGCACTGTCTTAAAACTTATTCTACTAAAAAATTCTTAATTTTTCAATTATATTAATTTTTAAAAATTGCACTTTTGTAGAGAGGAATTTGCGGGAAAATATTGATATGGTAAAGATTATTAATTGCGTTAAAAGGAATTTTTTGCTTTGTTTTTTGTTGTTTATGATTATTTTTACTGTTAATTCAAAATACTTCATTCGGAAGAGTGTTAAATTATTTCTAAGGCGTTCTAAGAGAAAAAATATGGTCAAAACTACCAAAATATGGTAAAATTTACCGTGAATCACCGAAAAGCTCGGCAAATTTTACCGAAACGCCTTAATAATAATTTTGTTAATTGTAGTTTTATAACATGTGATAAAATTTGGAAATTTTATCATGAAACCGTAGAAAAAGTCATTAAAACCATTTATTCTATTAAATTTACTTTTCAGTTTTGTATTTTTTTACTTAATGTGATAAGAACTATAATTTTAAAAACCAGAATTTCTGATAAACCGTTACCATATGAACGAAAAAAGTTACCAAACGAATTATTTAAATATAGTAAACTTTGTTTTTATTAACCAGAACTATGGTTTTTCTTCCTTGAAATGACATTACCACTCAGTACATTAATTTTACCAAAATAGTTTTCGACGTGTAGTTGACTCAGGAGAGTTATAGATAAAAATAATACTAGTGTTGTCATCAGGTTCCCAAAAAATGGAATCATAGTTGTCCCTCAGTCGCATGAATAGAAAAAAAAAACTGACATAAAGTTTAAAAAAATTAATAAATAAAACAAAAACTAACCTAAAATTATTAAAAAAAAATGTTTTTGGTTATAATTGTTTTTTGATACCAATAGAACAATATGTAATCGCGAAACGAATTTTTTTTTTTTTCCATTTTAATAATAGGCTAAACTTAATCTTTTCTATTAAAGCGAACAATATTATTTTATGTATATAGACGAAAGGGAAAGGAAACGTTAACATTTCTTGAATTCTTAACATCAGTATTAACTTCTGGCAAAAGAAAATAAATGTTACCTCTTTAAAATATTACATATGCCGAATGCAAACTAAAAAATTAAAAAATTGCATTTTACTTGCTCATGTCTACTTTTTTGAAACCCAAGTATTTCAAGTTTTTTTTCTTCTTTTTTTTTCTTTTTAAAACTTTGCTGAATTTAAAAATTTTTGTTATTTTAGATATCATTCTTTTTTTTATTTTTTTTTTCTTCCAAAATCGGTAGTCCGCATGACCAAGAAAGGTAGTGACCACTAGCTAGGACTTCAAGCAAGTTTTTTTTTAAATCTGACTACTAGGTGTCAAAAGATACAATACTCTTCCCAATTTATAGTTGTCCAGTATATCAGCATTATCATATTTTGTCAATTTGACCCAATAACAAAAATGTATGATATCAAATCTCTAAGTTTATTTCGATTTTTGCCAAAATAGCAGGAGTTCAGAATATATACGTCACGGGCAATGTAAATAATTGGGTATTGTTTATAATGCCCGGGCAATTTAAAAAGTGCCCAAAAGGATATGACAAAATGATAAATTATGTTGCAATTATTACATTGCCCGGTCATTATGTATAATGCTAAAAGTCAAGTGGGCAATTTGTGTCACACACAGCCACAGGGTGTCTTGGGATATTCATCAACTTTTAGATGCACCTCGATAATTTTTGTTTTAATTTTTTCCCGCACATGCGCTGTATAAAGCAACTACTTCAATTACTCTTATCTGGCGCAGTTTTTATTATTTATTTTTTTTAATTTTAAAGCAATAATCTCGGTATCAGTTTAAAATTGATTCAAACGCTTTGTTTAATTTTTTTTAAATATTTAAGCTATAGCAAAAGTGGCACTAGACCTAGTATATATTTCGGACATTTACCAAAGGTCTAGTCATACTAGGTCTGGTTAAGTGCCATTGCCAGACCATTAAGTGCCATTACATTGATGTTTTTTTAAGGTCCAGTGCCACTGCCCGGTATACATTTCCCCGGTATACCCTACACTGATGTTTTTTAAGGTTCAGTACTACTGCCCGGTATACATTTGCCCGGTATACCCTACACTGGTGTTTTTTAAGGTCAAGTGCCACTGCCCGGTATACATTTGCCCGATATACCCTACACTGATGTATTCTTAAGGTCAAGTGCCACTGCCCGGTTTACATTTGCCCGGTATATCCTACACTGATGTTTTTTAAGGTCAAGTGCCACTGCCCGATATACATTTGCCCGGTATACCCTACATTGATATTTCTTTGAAGTCAAGTGCCATTGCCCGGTATATATTTGCCCGATACTCCAAACACTGATGTTTGTTCTAATCTATCGTCAGTAAGTATTAAAATATCGAATAAATGTAATTATATCCACGAATAAATTAGTATCAAATTGGATGTAATAAATATTTCGAACATTCACCAAAGCGACTAATTTGATTGTCAACATTCTCCGGTGAACATTGGCCAGCCAGAATCACACCACACGCACGTGGTTGTCCCATTGTTGTCAATTAATCAAAGTGCCCAAAGAAATAATAGCGGTATTTATAATGACCGGGCAATGTGAGAAATTATCGTAAAGTAATTCAAATTTATCAAATTGCCCAATTTTAATGGTCATTATTCATAATAACTAAGCATTATGAATACTGACCTAAATAATTACATTGTCCGTAACATATATAATTTGATAGCCGGTAATCTACGCAAAAATTAACTGTTATCTTCCATCTGCTAATGAATTTCGTTGCCCTTTTCATCTTGGATGCGTTTAACCCATGGAATTTTCCAAATATATTGATGTGGATCTCTGTTCCAAAAGTTTGAAAGTATTGTAAATCAAACAATGCTCAAAAAGAGAGAAAAAGCTTTTTAATAAAAAATTTATTTAATCCCTATTTAATATATATTATTTTATAAATATAAGCAATTTAAACGAAATATTTAATTTTGAATTAGCACAGATTACTTGCACGGTTAAAGCCCTAATTTCGTATTAAATTCTCCTCCTATGGACGTAACCAAGGAATAATTATGGTAGTTCGAATATTCCTCGATGGCAAAATGATACTCATAAGTTTTTCTCCAATAAAGAAGAATACCTACTACAAAACAGTTTTTAATTTTTTTTAAACATTATATTTGAATGAAACATATTTTAAAGCGTTGCTTTTTTAAACCAGAAATTAAACACAAGTTAAAATTTATGTATTTTATTATTAAACAACTTTGAAGATTTTTGAATTAGATTGAACCTAGAGTTAAATGGCAAGAGTGTTGTATGCGGCTATACTACACAAAACTAATGTTCAACATCTTAAAAAATTTTAACACAAAAGAACAAAATTATTTCTGATAAAAACCATGAATGATCTAAAGATATATGAAGGAATAAAAACAAGGGGGAAAAGAAAAAATTACTAATAAATTCTAGTGGAATTACAAACACATTCAAGTATTAAATTTTTAAAAAAATAGTAAATAATTAAAAAAGTTTTAAAAAAATTAGACAGAATAAGTTAAAGTAAGAAAATATTTCAGGCATAAAATATTCAATTCAAACTTTAATAAATAGTAAAAAAAAAGTTGAGCACAAAATACAAATTAATTTAAAAAAAAAGAAGTTTGCATTTTATACTTTTCGAAATAATTAAAAACTATGTTTAAACAATATTAAGAGCTATATGTATATATAACTGTCTATTTCAACACTACTTCTAGTGAAGACCTAAGTTCTGTATCCGGTGGCAGCTTGAAGTTCACCCAGCTTCAGACCGATGGATAAATGCTTTCTGTCTGGAAAGTAAAGGCGGCCGATGAACAATACGGACCTTACTGCCACTATCAGACTGTTAGTTCAGAAGTTTTATTTTATTTTATTTTATGTTATTTTATTTTATTTTAGTTTTAATTTTTAATTTTTAATTTTTAATTTTTAATTTTTAATGTTTATTATTTTTATTTTTTATTTTTATTTTCAAATTTTTAAATTTTAAATTTTTTTTTCATTTTTTGAATTTTTAAAATTTTTTAAAAATTTTTTGATTTTTTTAATTTTCTTTAATATTTATTTTTATACTTTATTTTGTTTTATTTTATTTTATTTTATTTTATAACCGACGTTGAACAGCTGAATCGATTCTGAGTTTACGATTCTGAGTAATTTTGAACTCAACAAAGAAAACAAGGGAACTCCTGGACCAGTCTTCGTGGAGGGCTTTTTGATGAAACTAATTCGTATTTGCGTTACACGGAGAAAAAAATCACGAAAACCTCTCACTCTTAGCCCAACGGTAAGAAAATTCTTACCCATGATCCGTCCCCACTGAGGATATTTTACGTCAGCACTGCAGTCTTTGAGAGACGGGAGCACTGCTGGGATTCAAACCTAGATCACCTCATAAGAAATAAACGCACTATCCCCTGAGCCACCATGACTTAACCACCACCTTGTTCTCCATGACCCACTTGCTATCAAAGCAGCTGCTGCAAGAGTGCTTTACTTATCTTTCATCTTAGAAACCCATAAATGAGGATGTTAACAACCTATGAGAAGTTTAGCTATGGAAACCAGTGACCCGTGAGATGCTATGTTTAACTAAACATGGAAGGTTCGCAAATCTCATATTTTTCATATTTAAACACTTATATATCTCATGAGCACAGGGCAGGTAATCATATATTTGTTTCTCTATATCAGACATTTTCAACCAAAATCAGCGAAAAATTACGCCTGACATTTTTTATTTTGAAAATATTTTTCCTTTACTTTCGATATTAATCAGTTTTTTTTTCATTCATTTATTTATTTATTTTATTTTATTTA